TCATCCTCTCTTTCTCTTTCCCTCTCAACTCCACTCCGCTTTCTGCAGCTCCCTTCTTCCTCCTCTTCAGTTTCCTTTGCTCACGGCCGTTCATTATTCCTCTATTGCTTTCACCCCCATTTAAGTCGCATATCCATGGGTAAATAAAGGCATACAGTGTGTTTTGTTTCGCTGTATTTGTGTTTAGGCAAAGAATTACTGTTTCATTACTTAGGACTTTTATTTATAGAACCATTCTAAACTCTTAATGAGGGTTTTGTGTGTCAAACTGAATTCGAATGTGAAAAAATAGAAGCCGTCACCATTCGTGAAAATGCCAATGCAAGGCCTGTCTGTAATCAAGGAGATATCTTATTTTAGTATCTGTCGATGTAAAGAACAGTTCTGCAATCGGAGCAAGAGAGTGATTGTTGAACTTCTTCCTCTTTGGTCCTATCTTCCATATAAGGAAGTTAGGTGACCCATAACGGGTTTTCTTGGGATAAATTATTCAGGGTGGTTTCCCGTTGCCTTCCCTGATATGATGATGATAGGGGGTGAAAGGACGAACACAATACAACCATGCCCGAGGCGGGACTCGGACCCGCGTTCTTTCGGTACGAGATCGCTACGGCACTACTGCCTTAGCGATCTCGGCCACCGGATCGGCGAATGTTGAACTAGTTCTTCAGAAAAAGGACGTAGGCATTTGTGCCCCCGCAAAAAGGAGAGGTAGGACAGAAAATGTTCATATGCATATGCCACATCTCAAAAATCAAAAATATTTGATCAGAAACAAACTTACAGATAATAAAGGTAATATGTTACAAAATTCATGAAAAATATGTTTTTGAATATATGAAGTTTATAATACAATGCCCTCCACATTGATGTTCTTATCAGCATTGTCTCATTAGATCATGCCACCTTGCTAAAAACTTCTATCACAACATACATAAAATCCCAGCACTCGCCGAATTCAGACTCACAAAAAATTCAATTCGAAGAACCGGAATTCAAAATAAATTCACATTCCATTTCTTTCAAATCAAATTCGCAAACATAGAACTTGATTAAAGCACCCATAATGGGAAACTTCCCCCAACGTATAGTATGTAAATTTAGAATAGGTTAGTGAGTCATTAATTAAAATTACGCAAGTAAAGTTGAAATAATTATCAATGTATTTACTTTCAGAAGGAGAAAATAAAGAAAAAAAGTGTTCTCCGAGTACCGGAATTGTGTTGTGTAGTGCAATAGAGAGGTAGAAAGACGAGAGGTGACGTGCACGTGTTGTGAAGTGGAGTACAGTGTCTTTGAAAGAGCGAATTTATTAGTTACAATATCTGTGCAGGACAGACACGATATGTAGAGTTAATGCCATTATTGTTATTATTGAATTTATTCCTTTTATTATTATCGTCTTGAAATAATTTAAAAAATACATTGTTTTAATATTCTTAATTGTAATATGTAAATTATTGTGTTTTGCCCCGAGGTTGTATAAAGCTCCCTGCACAAATAATAAATCTATGCTTGTCCCTCCTTTTCCTCGCGCCGCTGTTCCGCGCTGCAAGCGCGGCCACGCGGGGCGGCGCGCTCCGGTCCGTCGCCGACGTACCCCGCCCCGCCCCGCCCCGCCCCGCCCCTCCCATCCCGCCCAACCAGCCCCTCCCCACCCTACCCCTTCCCCGCCCAACCGCTCCCCCGCCCAGCCCAGCCCCGGCCCGCCCCGCCCAGCGCGACCGGCCCCGCGCCGACGACCGTTCTCCACGAGTCCTAAATAAGCTCAGTCGGCTCCGCGGCGCTCCGCGGCGCAGCGCCCCGCCCAGAGCAGCGGAGTTTTATCTCCCCCTAAACAAATCTCCAGGTCCCGCGCCCAAGATTTATACCCCGCATCCGATCTGCGCATGCGCCGCGCGCCCTTTAACGCCCGCACCCGCCCCGCCCCCCCCGGCCCGCCGCCCCCGCCGCCGGCGCACGCGCGAAACAAGCCAGGGCGGCGCACGAAGTGACGGCGTGCTTAGGAGGGAGTGTTTAGTGGGAATAGCCTTGCTGTGGGACGAAAAAGTGTATGTGCTAGCCGCAGTGCGTGGCAGTGTAGGCGGAGATAGAAGCGGCTCGGGGGTGAAGGATATTCGCCGGATGTTAGAGTTTGGGAGGGGTTGCGGGCGGAGGGGCTAATGGGAACCAGGTGATGTGGAGGGGTGGAGGCGGGAACGCGTTGCGGTTTAAACGGGAAACATGTTGTGGTGTAGGCCTTGAAGGTGGACAGGCAGCGGGCTCGCGCAGGGCGAAGGGGTGCCGAAGACAGGAGGGCGGTGTGAGAGGGGGGCCCGACAGACGAAGCGAGAACAAGTAAATTGTGTACGTGGAGATGGCTGTTGCAGACGGATATGCGGTTGGGTTGCAGATGAGTGGCGGGCAGACTGGAGGGGTGGTGGCGAAGGGGACGGTGAGGCGTGGGACAGCGTTGGATGTGATGAGGGTGGGTCCAGATGGCGAAACGGGGCGAAGGAGAGCGGGCGGTGAAGAAACGTTGCGTGCAGACGTGAAAGGTGTGGGAGACGGCACAGGGGCGGAGGTGAGAGGAGAAGGGGGGCGGAGGTGAGGGCGGAGGTGGCGTTGGAAGTGGTGTTAGGCGAGACGGGGGAGGCGGTGAGAACCGGAGGTTGGTTTAGGGGCGCGGGAGGCGGTGGGACTATGGCGCAGCTGTGGAATGGAGAACACCGGGATGATGCAAACAAGACAGGACGGCTGCCTGGGATGCAAGTGTGGGGTATATAACTCCATGGAGGCAAGGAATCACATGGAGAGGGAGTGTCAGATGGGTGAATATGTGCTTGGACGACAGGCCAATGTTGTTGGTGAACGGAAGAAGAATATTATGTAAATGACCTCACTGGTCTTCCCTCCCATTTCTCCTGTCTTTCTCCAAATATATCTTTCCGGAGGTCAGATGCATGACATTATCTTCTTTCTGAGTACATCACTGACCAAATCAGCGTTATAATTGAATCCTGCCAAATTACAACACATTCTCATACGTATTTTACATGTTAGGCGTATACGTCTGCATTAACAACTCTACTGCAGTGTCATCTCGTCTTTAATATCTGAAATACATTCACTAACATGCCAAGAATTATGGTAGGACATGACATTATTCAGACAATTTTTCAAGCATGAATCTAGTTGTATTCTTTCAATTTTCGAAAACCTAATTTACTTGTTTCAATTTCACAGTTTGGAGATGGATACAGCTTAGATTCAAGAACATTACATTAATTAAAACAGAGCACGTTTATTCGTGAATATCAGTCAGGAATATGAGATTAAAGATCAAATGTGCACATTGTTAGTACAAATATTTTAATTGACACATTTCTGATAAATATTTATTACATTTTTAACATGTCTTCATACCCTGTTTTTAGCGTTGTACTAGGAATGTTCAAATACGTGATGAAAATATAGTGATAATGGCGTAATAGTCAAATATGAGCCAGGAACATGAGAGAACCTCGATAAATCTCGATTAAATTCCCACATCAATATTACACTGCGAGACCAGGCTTTTAAAATTTTGTGCTCCAGTTGTAAACAGAAATTGTAGACGATTAATGCGTCCGATTGATCATCATAGTTTCCATCATGCCTAAAACAGAGAAGGTAGATCGACCTGGCATTTGTAGCGTGTGAAGTTCGTGGCGGGGAGGGAGGGTGGAAGGGATCTAGAGGAGGAAGCCTTCCCCACTCACGGAAGCTACTGCGAGGGGACTCCTCCCTCGAATGCGGCGGGGCAACGCGCTCGCTCTTGCTGCCCCTCATTAAGTCGTGAACCGCATGTTTACAGCTCAATGTGTAGCTGCTGTGCCGGTGCTGACCGAAACATGGGAAGGGGAGGGGTTGGGAGGGGAGGGATAGTGAGGGGAGAAGAGGTTGAGGGAATGTAAAAGAGAGGGCGAGGAAATGGGGATGGAGGGGAAGGAGTGGGGGGAAGAAGCGGGGGGAAGAAGCGGAGGGGCCACTGAGGGTGAGAAGAGAGGCGAGACGGGGAGGATGGTGAAGTGTGTGAAGGAGATGTGCAGTAAGTGAAGAGGGAAAGGAGTGGGAAGGCGAGGGGAGTGTGGGACGAGAAGTGGTGTAAAGGGGAAGGTGAGGGGTGGGGATCGGGCAAAGGGGTGGAATCGAAACAACGCTCCAAACGTACAATAAATATATCGGCTATCGCCGGCGTTCGTCGGAAACTATCTCGCACGCAGCACATGCGAGAGATATTACGGTCGCAGGTCGACATATCGCAGAAGGAAGTAGCGTGCAAGTCGATAGGTATCCAAGGGCCGGTAACACAATACCACGGAACTTCTGCCCGGAACCGTAAAAGTGTCGCTGCGAGAACTCATGTGCTTCATTTTCTTTGCGAACACCGCAGCATAAATATTCATCTTGGTAATTAGGATTAATTAAAGAGACGTCATTTGCGCTGTATCGCAATGCAGTACGGAAGGCGTGCCTTAACAAGTATCTCTGCCCCCTCTTATAAAAAGGCTAATTTTCGCTCCCCGCCTTTTTCTCCAAAGCTCAATAATTATATTACGGCATTTTTCTGATGTTCTTCCAAGCTACGTTTGCATTCAGCGTAACACAATTATCAGGTATTTCTTTCCCTGATCCAGCTCTATAACATTTTTCAATTACAATGTTATATCAGAAATAAATATCATTCATAAATATACATGGAGTATTGACTAGTCACATTGGGAGCTTTATTTACGGATCCTGTTGCTGTGTGGAACCCTTTTACAGTCACGAATGAAGAGATATCGTCATTCTTGAGCAAAGTGAGGTCAGAACATCAACTGGAGTTTTGATTATTGATGAAAACGGAACCTGTAATAAATTCATTTCCTGTTTAATTCTTTTTCTTCCTTCTGAGGGGTTACAATTCACTGGGAAGGAACACTACATTAGTCATAGGGTAATCCTTTCCATCTCCAATTGAAATTTTTATATTGCACCTAATATTCCTTTTCCAATAGCTGAAGTAAGAATTGAGAGCATTAAAATTGTAAAAAAAACGTTTCATACTTCATTGGTACAAACGTGAATAATAAATTGTAACTTGTAACTTGTAAATTATGGAAATCAAATACTAAATTTGGAAAACCCACTTGTTTTTCAAGCATCCCTCTAGTGTTCTATAAGCGTGGCATTAGGATACGATTTTGCCATTACTCTATTACTATTAGGAGATTGATTTTCACAGAAAATATAATTAAATTTATCGTGTTATTTAAGCATAAATTTCAGTAATAATAACTTGATAAAAATATCAGCAAAAACCTAAAATTACTGAAGAAAACAACATATTCGTAGATATACCTTTATTAAATACATTGACATTTTTGGAACCTTTGTAGTAACACAGAATAAGGAGTGAAAACACATACTGTTCTCATTCACTCAAGTAGTCCAATAGGTAACCTTATCCTCATTCGCTGAGGTAGCCCTGGTATCAGTGTCTTACTTACGTGTAAACACGGCGGCAAATCAAGATCAGAGCTCAATTGTTACGAAATCAGATAAAAAACAAAAATGGCAACACTTGTGTTTATCTACTTGTAAACTTAATCACAAAGCAGTTTAGTAGGCTTGCTCTGAGCCCTACTATCTCTCGAATTTCAAAAAAGAACCATCGCGTTTTCTAGTTTGCCGTACTCAGCTGAAAACTTGACGAAACTACGAAGTTCTAATAACCTGAGACGGAAAATGTGAAACATAAAAATTAAGTTTTCGCGGCACTAGTTCTCACCTGTAAACTTAGAAACTAAACAAAGTCGGAGCAGTTTGAGCTCAACTATCTCTCTGAGGAAAAGGTATCTAGTTTACCGCACTCTGACGCAAACTTACGAACAAGACAATTTTTATTGAAAACGTTACAGACGATAACACAAAAGATAAAACGAATGAAACCTAAACAATACGAAAAGTACACCCAACTAACATGGTGCATGTGCAGTAAATAGATGATTAAGTCAAATTTTCTCTATTTTTCAGGGCACGCCTTAAACGACTATCAATACTGATGGCAGTCATTACACTGGCTTTGTAACAATGAGAAGTTACTAAAAAATTAACTTACTTTTTACCAAATTGCATCGATTTATTACAAAATTCCTATTTTAAACAAGTATACAAAATTTAAAAGTCGTGCTCTGAAGCGTAGAGAAAATTAACTAGCAGTTATTAACAGCCCATACAGATAATATTCACACATGTGTTCTTGAGCTTCTGAATCACGACCTCTTCTTTATACCATACAGATTGAATTATGAATAAATGCAGAAACAATATTTGATAACAAGACATATTCTCTCCCGGTAAAAGAAATATTTATTTTGGCAATGTACTGTTGACTACATAACCCAACCCGTAACTTCTCTCGCATCTAGCAAAACAAGAGCTCAAGAAAAGGAGCGCCTGTTTCACCGAGCGATTTCCAAGCTCGATTCTACTCAACCGACTTTGATGGTACACGCATAGTGGTTATCATGCCGGGCTGATCCCTAGTTCGCTGGTTCAAACACGGTCACAGTCGGGGGCGGAGATTTTTGAGGTGCCAAAAATCGACGACATGCGGACACTTGTCGACGTGTAAAACAGATCCCAGGAAAGGCACTTGGCCGATCCTGGCAAAATTAAATGCTCTAGCCATTTAATACCAATCAGAGTTTCGATTTGAATATCTGGATAAGATTGCGAATATTGTATGTTAGCCTGCGCTATCTTATATTCAAATCAAACGTTAATATTGGTACACTACCGCCCGCACGAAAAGCAATGAGAAACTACCCTACGTATACTTGCTCAAGATAAGACTCACAGGCGTTAGAGCCTTTTGGAGGCACATTAATCACTGTATGGTACTGTATGAAAGAAGAAGAAGAAGAAGAAGGAGGAGGAGGAGGAGGTCGCACTCACCAGTGAACTTGGCGACGCCCTTGAAGGTGACGGCCTCGATGACGGCCGGCTCGCTGCGGCCCTTGGCGTTGACGGCGTACAGGTGCACCTGGTAGCGCGAGCCGGTCTCGATGCCGTACACGTCGAAGACGGGCGGCGCGCGGGCCACCGTCACGTTGTAGCGCAGCCGCAGCGACGGCAGCTCCAGCAGCTCCATGAGGAAGCTCTGCGGCAGGCCGCCGTCGAAGCTCTCCAGGCACTCCACGTGCAGGGAGTCGGACGTCTGGTTCACCACCGAGCAGTTGACCAGCGGGAACGGCCGTCCTGGGAGGGGAAGGCACGTCCTTCAATGCATTTGTACATAATGGAACAAGGAATGATGCGTCAAGGCCAAAAAAGATAATGGTAATAATAATAACAATAATAATGATAATAATAATAATAATAATAATAATAATATAGTAACTAAATGAAAATAAAAATTCAAGTACTTCTTCACTTGAGGGATAATCATCCTAATGGCTAAGCCAATCCACTGTCATTTGGCGATGTTCATTGTAAGAGATACTCAGATTACTTTTTTTTTTTTTTTTGCAGAATTTGCAAGATTCTTTCTCAGAAATTGCACTTTAGATGTATTTTTTGTTTCACGTTAGGTATGCCAAACTCTCATATTAGATTAAGATAATATTTAGCTAAAATTAAGTTTTAATTAGTTATTAAGAAAATCCCCCTTCCTCAGCAGCTTAAGCCGTAAGACAGCAGCATACTGTACACTAAAGTAAGAAAAAACTTCTCTCCTCCTCAGTGGCACTGTGGCAGAAAAGAAAAAAAATCACGACCTTTAGGCAGTATGTTTGTGACAGACGCTAGTCAAATATTTAACCATATATTACGTCTATAATTTACAATAGCTACTTGTAAATGTTAATGGATCAATTAAATAATTATTTGTAAATAGTTAAAAGGATAGTAGAGAGTGGCTGTACTATAAAAACAATGTTTAATATTAAATTTAGTCTCTCGTATGATTTTTCATGTTATTAAGTTGGCAATACATCATCTACAAGGTTAGATTAATTTCGGCTCCGGCACTTTTTTCTCTTTACTTTGAATATCAGTCTACATTGTTTGCTTCCAAATACAATTATCAGCAAGTGCTACAATCTTTTGAGTTATCGCGAATTTCAATCATATGCAAAGAGCAACAGTGCAGACAGTAGGAATGTAATGATATTTACAGCATAGTTTTTAAGCTGAGAGCCAATACTTCCGATTGCCATGAATTTCGCGGAAGATGTTTTATTATTTACTTCTTAGATTGGCCGAAGAGATATGTTACATTTGATATCATCTTATTTCCCCAAAAAGTGTTTGAATTGAATCTAAATTGAATAAAAGGAAAAAGTACTTTGACTGTATCAAGTCTTAAAAATACCTATGCCCACGAAATATTTCTTATAAGAGCCTGTAATAATTTGCACTAATTTCATTAAAAAAAATAGGGAGCTATGGCCAAATTTTTTCTTACCATTTTGATGAACAGATATATTTCTTTCATTTAGAATACATTTGTGGGGGATTTCAAAGTGGTCGATCGAACAAAAATACTACGAGCGAACTGTTGAATGTGGCAACAAAATTCACTGTCTGGCTTTTCGACAGGAAGCTTCGGCACTAAAACAATTATAACTATTATTTCGTATAGGAAAGTACACAACAAAACGAATGAAACAAATTACAAACACAACCGCAACAAATTTCTGGTCGACAATGTAGCCATTGCGATCCCTGCATTGGGCTAAGCGATGTTTTCTGAAGCGTAGTACACGTAGATGGCGCTATTTGCGTGCACAGTGTCTCCCTTCCGGTAAGTCTCGCTGGCATGTCAACGGTCGTTGAGTGCGTGGATTTCTCGTGCGAACTTTACCAGCAGGGCCGGGTTCGAGTACTACGGGGCCCCCAAATATAAAACCTTGTTTCCCCCTCCCCCTTTCGGAAAAATTACAATAATTTATGCATTAATATTCGACTAATTGAATATTGATAATATAATATTAAAAAGGATTTTTTAAATTTTTAAATAAAAGCTGTATAGTAGATTATTCGACTAACAGATAGTGCACAGATACAAACATTCTATGATATTTTGCGAATAATTTAAGAACCTTTTCCGGAGTAAAGGGAATCCCATGAATAGAGGGGCACTAAGCAAGTGCGTGAGGGATGGGATGAAGAGAGAGGGTGTGATGAAGAGAGAGGGAGGGATGAAGAGAGAGGGGGAGGAGTGGCGAAGAGAGGGAGGGGATGGGAGGAAAAGAAAGAGTGGTAGAGAGGGGTCTGTGAAATCAAAGGGAGAGAGGGAGTGAGAGGAAGAGAAAGGGAGAGAGAGAGAGAGAAGAGAGAGAAATAGAAGTATGTGTTACATTTTGGAATTTTTGAGGTACCTGAACTCGTTTAGAGAACTCTAGAGAGTGTGAATGTGGTCGCTACCGCATTGCAGATTAATGAGCTAGACTTCGCTGAAAAGGATTGTGAATCACCATTTATTACACAAACTAATAATTCATAATGCTCAGGATTCACGGGTTTATAACTGTTAATTTGCCACAGAATTTATCCAGGAGCCTAGCCAAATGAACAGTTAAAGTAAAGTTACGAGATCGAAGTAATACCATACTGATTATATAGTTTATTATATTTTTAATAATATTACGCTAGCAAAGCAGCGCACGTCTGTAGGATAATGTCAATTCTTATTTCTCTTCTTTGATTTTTAAAGCATTCGGTTCCAAACAAGTGTTGGTTAATTAAATTCGGTCACACTTCAATTAACTCTGAGTATTAGCAAGCAAGTCTCATTCAATTTTGCAAAACTTTCAACAACAAATTATATGATATATTATTTTGGTTGGTAGAACTCGAACAACCGCAGTTTCTCGTCTTAGAAGGGAAAGGATATTTCCCGACAATTTATCCATAAAAAATGAATTCTTTATTCCAGTTATTGCATTTCTAGTAAAATAGTAATGTGAAGAGGAAGTGCCCTGGGAAAACAATGATCTTCCTAGTCTGCAGATATTGTAATATTTTCGACCGACCACAACACACCACAATTAGTGCTAGGTTGTGTCTTACTCCTACCTATACAAAGTACCTTATTACCACAATACATCTCCTCCCTTTATTACGATAACCCCAGTTACACAGTGTACACACCAACGAAGGTATCCATGATCGATCGGTTTATTGAGAACATAACAGCGGTGTGTGCAGAATGCAACGTAAACTGAGCCAACAAAACGCGTCTCGTTATCGATGTTTTGAGTGCTGTGTACCTCACAACCGCTGCGAGTGAGCTGATAGCTTACATGCGTCCAAGTCGGGAAGTTCCGGGTTTATGTGGGTGAAAGCAAATTGAGAACAATAGATCAATTGATGCACATTGAAAACAGTTATTTGGAAAGATATTACGGAATAGAAAATGCAACGTTTTTCTTGGTTCTTCAACAAAAATAAACAATCGAGTTGATGAACAAATTTTATTTTGTTGAGTTGGGAATATTACCACTGCGATGCCTCATGATAAGCGAAGTTTTTAATTTTAAAATTTCACTTTCTCATATGAAGAAACTATTTTGTGCAAATTATGTGTATTAATCATGTATCTAAAAGAAAAGTCGGAGTAAATATGATTAATTGTATTTATTTCTTATTATGGTTCAGTGAATTCTTCAACCCAAACAATTCACTTGTTGAATCGACAAAAATGTTTTTAATATTTATCTCTGTGAGTATTGATATATACTATTACTGTCATGTTTTAGTTGCTATTTTTGTTCTTCTACAGTTACTCCCACCGGGTTACAATCGATTGCAATTAAAATGAAGCTAGTGTACACAGTATAAAATTTTCTGCTCCTTTTATAACATTGGACACTGTGGTTTAGAAATAAAATATTATTTATTATCTTCAAGTGAAGTCAGAAAGTAAACAATGCCTTGATATTTAATTGTTTTTTATGTTTATATTACAATATTTACATATTTTTTAGCGTAGAATGGAAACTTTGTTAAATACTCTTTTTTATTTTCATATACATTTTTACGTATTCATAAACGGCCTTTTTTCATTCAATTGGCCCATCACGACATAGCAAAATAATTAGAGTACTCACAACCAACAGAAAAGGGATCAGCGATCAGAAGAGATGATTGAGAGAAACGAAATGGAATTTTCAATTGTTGATATTCATCATTACACTCTTCGAAATGGAGTCCGAACTGCCAGTGACTGTATGCCAAAATAGGTCCTATCTCGACAATTAAGTACCAAGGATCAAAACAGAAGACCGCAAGTGTAACGTTTACTCCCTTCAAAGAGAGATGATGACTAGTAGTGTTTGATATCTAAGACAATAAAATACTTAAATATGAATGTAATTATTTAATTTGTATTCTGGTGTAACACATGTTATTAGTAAACTGGTTTCTAAGATCGAAATCTAGAATTTAGAACGATAATTAATTACCCCCAACCAAATTCTACGCAGAGTTTCCCACCGAGCTCGGAGTACCGTCAAGTTCGTCATAGTAGAAATATAAATTACAGGGAGGATTGCACACTATCGCGAAATCTGGGAGGTGGAGGCAGACAGGGGTGGCTTCAAAAAATATTTTAGGGGACGATAAAGGAAACAAGTAAGCAAGTATATTTATAGTAATTATTTAAATCGCATGTTAGTTTCGACGCGTGTATATTAATTTTTTAAACAGCACTGAAATGTTTAACATTTTTTTAAAAATCATTCTACTAATAATATTTTTCCTATTCAAATTACACGATCATTGATTACACAGAAAACGTTGAAAGACACTGTTTTAAAATTTCCCCTCATTATTAATGTCATTAAGAAATCGTAAATAATATAATTTTAAGCGTATTTGTACTGGCGCAAACTTATTCTTCGTCGTGTGCGGTTTCATGGAAGGTCGTATTTGCTGCGTCTGGAGCTGATCTTGCGCCAGCAGAGCCGCGGAGGAGCGCCAGTGCAGCGCATCTGCGCGTGCGACGGCGGGCGCCAGACCGTGGGTGCTCGCGCCCTTGCGCCCTCGCGCTGGCGCCCTGTGCCCTCGCGGGCCGCTGGGCACGGCCGCGTCAAGGGCACGCCTGCCCAGCGCTGCGCTGCCCTG